ATAATCTAGGTATTTAGGAGAAAGCAGAGTGTTTTGTGAGCTTGCCTTCCTGAATACTCAAAATCGTAAAAATAAACTTCATCAGTCATCGCTATAAATATGTGTAAAAAACATTACCATATGCTGCTGTAACGTTTATGAGTCATATGTTGGCTGGAATCGATTCCTCCCTTCCTTTTCGTACACACAAAGAAACACATAGACACACACACATAGAGAGAGAGAGAGAGAGAGAGAGAGAATGAGAGAGAGAGAGAGAGAGAGAAGAGAGAGAGAGAGAGAGAGAGAGAAAGACTTAATCGTACACACAACGACATTGCCGACAGCATTCACAGAGACAGACAGAAACAAGCATACACGCATCATCTGATCAGTTTGTGGGCTGACTTGCCTGTCAAACAGATTACCTTACATGGACACATGCCATGTCAGTTTGCTGCAATTGCTGAGGTCAAAGTTTAGCTATTAGAACACTCCCACGAGGCTTCAAAACCCGCCTAATAGTTGCAAATGTTTGGCTTTGTCATAGCTCATATTGCCATAGCTTGTTTACGCTTTCTAATGAGAAATCCTCCCATTGTCCAGAAAACATGTAATCAGAGCCATGGGAGATAATCCCTGAGGGAGTTTCCATGAACAAAATCTTGAAAAAAAAAAAAAAAACAGCCGATGAACAAACACACAATCTGCAATAAGGTAATGATACAGGGCAATAACAGTTACAGTAGAACCTCGCTTAACGAGCACCTCTCATAACGAGTAATTCGCATAACGAGCAAAACAAATTGTAAGAAAAATGACTTGCTTAACGAGCGACGTTTCGTATAACGAGTGGCGAGGCGAAGGGAAGTCCCAAATTGTGCGCATGTTACATCAGTCTGTGTTTAGCACTCTTTGCAGTAGCATCGTAGTGTCGCTTGTAATCACACATTTTCTCAAACTTGTGTTATATTGTAATATATGTATATGAATCCCCCAGGCCTACAAGATGACCTCTCTGAAGAATTTAGGTTCATCCAGATCCAGTTTCTGCCTCCCAACGCCACTCCGTTACTCCAGCCCCTGGACCAGCAAGTTATTTCTAACTTTAAGAAGCTCTACACTAAAGCACTCTTCGAGCATTGTTTTCAGGTGACTGAAGGGACCAACCTCACTCCCAAAGAATTTTGTGAAAAATCACTTTTTACATCGTTGCCTACCTCAAGATGATCGGCAAGGCGGGGAAAAGGGTTACCAAGAGAACCATAACTTCTTCTTGGAAGAAGCTTTGACCGGAGAGCATTGTCGATTTGTGACTTTGAGGGGTTCGAGACCATACCTGTGGAACCTGTAGTCAACAATAGTGTGTCTTTGGCCACTATCATGGAATTGTAGGTGGATAACAGTGATATCAAATAGCTTGTGGAAGAGCACAGCCAAGAGCTGACCACCCAAGAGCTTATGGAATTTCTTTGTGTTTCACAGCAAGAAGTTTTGGTGGAATGTTTGTCAGAGGAGGAGAAGGAGGTAACAGAAAAGCAACAATCTTCTGGCGAAATAAGAGAAATGCTGAAAGCATGGCAAACTGTTGCATCTTACATTAAGAAGCATCACCCTAATAAGGAAGTGGCTATGCGCGCTGCAGATTTATTTAATGATAATGCTGTATCGCATTTTCGGCAAAAAAAATGTCTCTGGACATTTTTCTAGTAGAAAAAAAAAATAATTAGCTATGTGTGATTATTAATTTAACTTTCCCCCCCCCCCCCCCCCCCCCCCCCCCCCCCCCCCCCCCCTTCAAATTGAATTCCTATTCCAGGTGCGTTCGTTCCGCGTTTGAAGAAAAGATGAAGATAATTCCCTCTCCTTAATAATTTGTATATAATTTTCTTTGAATAAAAGTTATACATAGCATTTTGTGAGTATTTTTTCCGACATCGTATTTTACATTAATTTATATGAGAAAATTTGTTTCGCATAACGAGTGTTTCACTTAACGAGTATGATTCTGGAAAAAATTATGCTCGTTAAGCGAGGTTCCACGGTAAGTTGAGGCTTAAGAAACTTGGTAGCTATTATATCTTATTATCATCACCAATCAGCCGGTTCTTTACATAATATTGCTCTCAAAACACCCGAGAGTCTCTTTTGTGGAATCAATTACCCAGCCCTATGTGATTTCATATTTGTAAAATGCGACACTTCGATGAGGTACACGGTGGAAGAGAAGAAGAAGAAAACGCGACTTAATAAATAATGTCTGTTAGTCCGACAGTCGCAAATATTGCACATTACCTGTAAACCGCAGCACAACGTGCCATCCGCACTTTGAAGTTTGAACGCGGGATGTGCCCAGCTATACACCGGCTGCTTTTATTTGTAAGAAGATATTCTGATACATTTTCAACCTGGGTCGACATACAAATTCATTTCAATCAAGAAAAACATTTCAATGGGAATTCGAACTCAATTATTTCACGTCGACGGAAGGCGTATAGCTACTGAGCTGTAGATATTATTCCATTTATCTTTCTGAGTTGCCTACTCTTTCCATTTGATGAGTGGAGATGTTTTCGGGTGTAACATTTGATCTGACTATATTATTTTATTATTTCATTATAGCTATACATTATTGAAGCGTTAGCTAAGGGATATTATACAATTTATCACATGAATGTTCTGTTTTTAAAGATAAATATCAACATGTGTTACATACACTGTTTAATTATTCAGTTGCTAATTAGCTCTTTTTTCACAGGGCCACAAATTAGGCACGTGGGCCCGTCTTACATTCATCCCTTTCAAAGACCCGTCTTTCACACAGCAGTTGTATTTTAACATTTAAGCATGTTATGTTCAGCAGGAGGAGGAGGATGAGAGGAAGAAGAAGAAGAAGAAGAAGAAGAAGAAGAAGAAGAAGAAGAAGAAGAAGAAGAAGAAGAAGAAGAAGAAGAAGAAGAAAGAGGATTAATAGAGCAAGGTAGGAAGAGCAGGACAAAAGAAAGAAGAAAAAGAAGATTTAAAAAATAAAGCATTTTCTGCATGTTTGGTTCCTTTAACTCTCTCAGAAATATGTTTCCTTGTTTAACAATATAGATGTTGTTTTCGGACGATCATAAAATATAGACCTACACTATCATTTGATTCACTTTATCAGCGCATGCGCATTCGATCAAATAAACATCAGGTCAGATTTTTTCTTTAAATGACTCTGGCCTCCAGGTCGACCATGGCGAAAATTGGTTCTAATGTCCTGGGAAGTAAAGACGTCTGAGGTGTTCTCAAGCAGCCTATACCTGGTGAGCCACTGTACAAGAAAGTCTTGTTACACAGAATTGTCCTTGAGTGATCTCTGGGGTTCCATTTTCGGAAAATGAGAGGTGATTGGGGGGGGGGGGGTGGGTAGGGGGGGTAGGGAATAACAAACACACTGTCCCTTGACAAGTGGGTAGTTGAAGCCGACTAACTGGGCACGTTTCCTTCAAAGTCGGACTGCATCTGCCTGAAAGACAGCTTGCATATAAACAAGCTAGAACTCTAAATTGGATGTACACGCACGGCTCAAGTTCTGAACAAGACAAAAGTCAAGAATGTCGAACGACTAAACTTCCCTCCAGTGTTTACAGCCGGTGGACGCAACGAAGAAGAAGAAGAAAACAGATGACGTTCAAAATGTGGTCAGTTGCTTCTTGTTTAAGTGGTTCAGCAGTTCTCCTGCCCTGTGAGTGCCTTGTTTTATTTTTAAGGTGTAATTCCTTTTGTTTACGATTGCATTTTGTTTTGTCATTTTGGGGAAATCGTCGTTGAAGCTTGGGCATTTGTGCTTTGCAAGAAATCCTAATAGGTCGCTAGGTGTGCTGCGAAAAGAAACAAAGACATAAAAGGAATGAAACCCGATGAAATGTAATAGATTCTGCTGATTTATATTCATAATCAAGAGATTATAATACAGTGTTATATTGCACTTACAAAAGATTGCCTTTTTTAAAAACATGGAGTTTACCTAAAGATCTTTTGTATTGTTTCCTCAGCGAGTTCGAGACAAATCTACAGCGCAAGTCTTCATTATCTCCATGGCTGTAATCGACCTCTTCACCTGCATGGTAATCATTCCACTAACAATGTTCGTCGAGTACACCGAATATGACATCAAATACGACTTCCTGTGCAAGTTGTACCATTTCTTGATCACCTCCAAGATCCCCATGTCCGCATTCATCATGGTGGCCATTGCCTTCGACCGCTATTTCTGTATCTGCCATCCTTTCGCTAGAATCATCACTTTGTCCAGAGCTAGAAACATCGTTATCTGCTTGGCTATACTGGCCAGCTTCTTTGGAGTGGTGACATCCATGTTCTACGGCGTCTACCAGGTGGTGGAGAGAATAGACAGCAAAAGAATTGATGAAGCCATGGGCACCAACTTTACAACAAAAGTGGCTAGAGTGGACACCACAGTTACTCTGGATGATCGGAGCGATAAGTACAATAAAATTCGAGAGTTGTTGATTGCAACTATACGGGTGAGAAACTTTACTTTTAACGGAACTGGTGGTGATTATCTGCCAACTATCACCGAAGTCATTTACGTCGGTGTTTGCAGTCCTTCTAGTGTTATATTTGGATCTACACTGTTTCACGTGTATCAGCGTACCTACATGGCGGTGTATCCATTGTGTTTGATCACCGTAATGATTCTCTATCTGATGATCTACAGGTTCATGTGTCTACGACGTTCTAAGAAACTTCAGGAAAAGCTAATTATGTGCTCATATGTCAATGGGGATGGGAATTACGAAAGTGCACATTTGATAAATGAGGACGCAGAAGACAGCAGGAAAAATAATAAAAACAAAGAAAAGTCAGCAAATGCGGGTCAGTATGCAGAAACTATTGTAACGTCGAACGGGAAATCTGCTCCAACAGTAACTGTGTGTAGTCCACAAGATGGCGGGGACACGACCCCACTGCAAACCCCACAGGAGTCGAGAAAACACGGGAAAAACCTGCTTGTTGAGTCTATTTCCAACAGCAAAATCTCCACCGTGACAACTTCAGTGACACCAACGGACCACGATGAGAACATACCCATGCTAAACTTCTATAACAACAACTCTTCGGACAACAAGAAAAACATCACAGATGGAGATACGTCACCCTGTGGCAGGCGGCATAGTCATTTTCCCGCACAGAAATACCAGTGGTATAAAAATAGAGACTCCATGAAGAGGTACAAGGGGAAGAGTCGTCGACATGCAGCTCCGCCGAACTACGACGTTGACCGCCTGAGAGAAGAGAACAGATCAGCCAATGTTCGCACAGCGCTCATGCTCTTTACAGTGACTCTGGTGTTCATGATAGCGTTTGTTCCTGCCTGGGTGATGGCACATCGTTTGATTCCTCACAGCCCGGCTGTATTTTACCTGTACTTCAGCTATAACGTAGCGAATCCTTTCATCTACGCTTTTATGAATCACATCTTCAAAGCTTATATGCGGAAAATGTTCACGTGTCAAAAGTTAGGAACACCCCAAAGAAGATGTTCATGAACACACACATGTGAAATTTCGGCACATTTCATTCTAGCATGTATCTAACTCTCTGTCTAATGAGACGAGAAGGATAGCTCCTAATATGGAGCCAAGAAAGCTATATAATACTTGGTCGTGGAAATAAACAGTTTTTTTTTACAATTATTTGCACTCTTGCGTAAGTGACATTTTCATTTATCCGACTATACGAATTGGTCAGTGAAGGTGCTCAGTACCCCAAAAGAAGATACCCATACGAACTGATGCAGCTTTTTCCGTTCATGCATGCCACTTTATCTCGGTCAACTCAGGTCAGAAAGAGAATACAAGAGCTTTACTCTCTGAGTCTGAAGGAACGCGTCATACGTTGGTAGATTCTTACATCATAGAAGCACAATAAACGCAAGATGTGTCCATTTCATGTCCTCTTGACTACCCCTTGGGCCTCTGATGTTAAATCCCCTAGGACAAAGAGATAAAGAAAACCAGTCGTTCTAGTTGGGAATTTATCATAGGCAGTGAGTACATCAGTAAGAAATTACATAGAGTTACTACTGGTTCTGCATTTGACATCAGCTCTCTGTCTGACTCAAAGAATCTAGAGAGCAGATGAGCTGGCAAGCTCTGAGGGTAACCTCGTCCACCGCAAAGATACAGAGAACAAAAAAGCTGCATTAAAAACAGACCTTCGTAATAGGCGAGAATGGAGAAAGAAACACTGAGGTTACTGACCGGAAACTGGCCGTTGAAATAAATTTAACAGGAAAAGAGGGCAACAAACGCCAGGCTTCAGTTCGGACACTGTAATCTCAGATAATACCCACACAAACAGAAATGCAATGATCTCCCACTTGTGAATGTAGAGCAGTCACACACACACACACACACACACACACACACACACACACTTGTGGACACAGAGCAGGCGGACAGGCAGACAGATTCAAGTACCTGTGCTGCAGGACTGGCCTGCCAACTTCTTGTAGAGGTTAGGAATCTGACCCTAATAAGCTACATTGCAAGACAAGATGAAAGGCCTTGAACTCAGGTGACCCAGATCTGATATAATACTTAGCATATTAGTAAGTTTTTAAATAGTTGATTGGTTGGGTAAACATCATTGCACTCCGACTATGTCAAAAGGTGCTCAGATCCTCCCCACAGTATGAACTCCAGCGTTCGGTGACTAATAGTACCAGTTCTATGTTGATTAACAAGTCCTCTAAAGTGCCTGTTGTGCGTCTCGCTTTTTGCTATGCCGATTTTAAGTTCCTAGTCTATTATTCTGGTGAGTGATGAAGATTCATTGACCCCTAAATCATCCACCCTTTTCATTTGACAGGGGCATTAATAGTATCAGCATGATTCATTGAGGCTGATAGCGGATCCAGCCACCCTATAAGTTCTTTTATTTTCATCGACCCTTACGTGTCTCAGAACTAAAATCAAGATGAATCCTCGCACAGCAGAGTGGACGCCTTCAAGCCGCAGCCGTCGCACCGAACCTGCCCGAGCCATCCGGATCTTAATCATTTAATCACTGAGGGTGTAGATTTGATTTCCGAACAACGCAAATGCTTGCGTTACTGCCATCACCTCCATCGTCATGCTGCGGGACGTCATAAAAAAGGCGCCGTGGGTTTCCTTGTCTGTTCTGCTATCTGAACGTGCTGTGAACTCCAAAGCGCTTCTGTTATGGCGTGCAACGGATCTAGATGTAATGGATATATCCGGATTTTTGGATAGATAAATCCGTCACATGTTCGATGGTAAAATGATAAAATGACACCAAAGAAACTAATTATAAGAATTGTTTCTTCTTTCTCTCGATATCTGTATGTCAGTCAAATGTGGTGCAAAATAGATTTTTTTAAGGGGTATGCATGTGTGGATTTTGTGTTGAGAACGTATTTCAAAATTATATGGTGCCAGTTTCAACTACAGCTGCCGGCGATTTGACAGCAGACTGCCGTGTGTGGTTTCGAGAGTCGACCTTCAGTAAGCAATACCAGACTACTGAACATAAATAAGATAGCCTATTGAAATTACAGAGAGTCACAAATTGCTGGAGTTGGTTCTTCTACATGCAACAGACTTTATTTGCATACATAAAGAGTCTTCATATATGGAAATGCATTACAGGCTATGGCCAGTTAGACTTTTTGTGAAAGCGAAAGATTTATGTTTTTATTCTAGAACAAAGAGAACATCATGGACAGGCAGAAAGGTAATGACTATATATGGATAAAGGTTCATTCTTTGCTGCGGGCAAACTATACGACCACCGACCCTACTGCATTTATTACAAAGAATTGCATCACGATGGCTGCTGACCATAAACATCCGTAACTAAAATAAAATATTATGTCTAATGTACTATCAAGGTTTTATTTATCCTTGAAACATCTGGAGGGTGGTATTACAACGTAAGGTCCTCGTTTCAAGCCAGCGCGCACAGTCCCTGGGACTCTCAAGGACCACAACATTTTTCAGTATCTATACTATATCTTATCGCAGGATTGTGCGAATGTGCCTTTTGTTTATATACCGGACATATAGTCTGACTTCCATGGATTTACAGGGCACAATACCAGCACTCAATGCAGTCCTTATCTTGACAACCATGTACATAGCAATATGTGTATGTAACATGCTTCGTGTAATAAAACTGCAATTCATTTAACGTAGTATATGTCTTTTATATGTGTTTGTGTGGTACCTCCTTTTAGCTTGTGCAGTTATTTCACATTTTAAACTGTAGCTAACGTAGCTAAATTAGACATTAAGCATATTGTGAAATTTCTGGGCAGGATATTCCTGTGTCATGGTAATGATCATCTGGAAACTATGGTCGCTGCCACTCTTCTTGGTGGTGTGCTACTTTATAATAAAGCAGACAAGGTAAAGACTCTGGAAGAAATGGACAGTTCTTGAAATACTAATTTAGTGTTTTAGGTTAAAACAGGAGCCGGGGGTTGTGAAGCGGACATTATGGCCAATTTGAGGGGTACAATTGGACATTATTTGGCCTATTCATTGAAGGCGTGATGAAAGAAAAAAAATGTGATGTAAACCACCACATTTCTGGATGAATAACTAAAGCTGTGCCGAAAAGGTAATTATCACTTATTATCATGTAGCAGGTCCTTTGCAGAACGTTACTTTTATCACGATCTACCTCAAAGAAACTCGGTCTTTCGCTAGCTCTCCCGCCTCATGTACTTTCATGCTCAAGGAGTCACTTATATCCTGTTCCCATCTTCGTGTTGGTCGGCCCCTGGCCCTCCTTCCTGGTGTCATGCCTTCTGCTATAATTTTTTCCAATCCATCGTGGCGCTTGAAATGACCAAAATATTTCAGCTTCCGAGACAGAATGCTGTTTATTAGCCAATCTTCCTTGATGTTCAGATCTTTCAAGATTTTTATTTCTCCTATTTTTTGTCCAAAATATTTTGAGAATCTTTCTATAGCATTTCAGCTCAAAAGCCTCTATTTTCTTTCTTAAGGACTGGGAGATAGACCACGACTCACATCCGAATGTTGCTACAGGGAGGATGCATGCTCTCAAAATTCTAATTTTGATCTCCTTAACCATAGACATTTTAGTTTGTTTAATCGTTTATCGTCCGCACATTGGACATTCCCGTGCGGGCTTCCCCCCCCCCCCCCCCGATGCAGAAGCCACTCAAAAGTACTTCTACTAATTGTTCCCATGAAAAGCTGGTTATATTGTTTCCTAATTTGGCCTCGAAGACGGCAAAGACGTGCTTTACCATGCTTTACTCCCATGTCACGCAATCGTATTAGTGTCAAGGATTCCTCCTTAACCACCAGCCCAGTCCGTACAGAGAAGACTATATCTGCTCTGTCCAAGCTTTTTTCCGCAATCCTTAGTGCAGTGTTTGCCAGTTGGTCTGCTCGCTCATTTCCCTTTACGCCCGCATGGCCCAGTGTGTAGATCCAGGTTACGGAGGTTAAGTGCGATTTTTGAATGCTTTCTACATAATTTAGAGCGCATACCACCTGTTGCTATCTTCTGAAGCATTTTCATATTAACTGCCTGCTTGGCGGTTTGCTCAGATACCTATGCTACAGCTTTAGAAGCAGGGGGTTATTTTCATGGTCATGCTTGACAAGGTTGTCTGGTAAGCGCCGTTGTCCTCCTGTATTGTTTTCATCTGTCTTTGCGCTGTGTATTCCCATGCTGACATTGATCCCCGCTTCATGGATCCATCTGTAGATGATTATATTTCTGGGTTTAAAGGCTGATCTATCAGTTCCCTTACTCGTGTATCTACGGCAGTAGGAATTTGATCCCGGCAGTATCTTCTGAGTGTGATAGCAGCCTTAGAGATGCCATGCATGTCTACTGGTATATTCGTCCATTTTTTCCGTGACTGATCACGTCTAGGTCACATAGCTGCTTGATTAAATCCACCGTCTTTGCCATCTAACAGCGGCCTCTTCTGAGACGCGTTCCTTTTGTGTCGTGTATAGCTTAGTGCAGTGGGTGGTTAACGTCTGCCGATACCCACATGTACGCCTTGACCTGTGCCCCTTTGTATCTGCTAGTCATCGTCGGCAAACCCAGGACATAACGCATGGCGTTGCAGGAGGTGTCTTTTGTTCAGCCTAGTATGAGTTTCGTCGGCTCTGTGGCTAAGTCGATGCGAACACTTCGCTTCGTAATGCCGGGATGCCAGGTTCGATCCCAGCTGCGGGCAATGCGCCTTGCGTTGGTTTCGACAGTGGTATCAAGAAAGCCGACCGTCCAGAAAGCAATGGCAAACTACTGGACGTAAATTTGCCTAGAGAAACCACACAACAGCCAGGGGCTGTTAGGGTTGGTTCTGCAACGTCCTCTAGAGGATACGCAACAACCTTAAGTATGAGTTTCATGGCGTTATTTTGTACGCGGTCCAGTCTTTCTAGCTGGGTTTTGCTGACAGTGAGGAGGCCAAGACCAAAGTCAATGACGCCTAATACAAGCCCTTGATAGAGAAGGACAACTGGGCGTT